GCAGTAATCTTGAAGTGGGCAAGTTCGCCAAGGAGTATTGGCGAACGTCGATGTCGAAATATCCGGATGTGTCCGGATGGTGTAACCCGGTTACACGGCAGGTGCTGTGTGGCGTCCGTTCTCGAACGCAGCGACGCCGGAACACGTCATGGAGTAGGCGGCCTTTCTTGCCATGAAGGATGAAACCTTAGTCATGACAATGTTCGACTTTAGCGCGTGGGGACATGAGACTATGATGTGGCTGCAAGGACTCTTGGATACACATGGAAGTGCGGCTGTGGGCGTGAAGAAAACCCAGGGTACTGAACTCCAGGACACGCCAACTTTGGCCCATCCGTATTGGGCACATTCCGTCGACGGGTTTCGGTTCCTGGCGCCCGATGAAGCCAAGAAATACGGCCATGCGTTCGGCTTTGAGTACACGTCACTCATGATCCACCCAGGGTGCGTTTCTCACGACATGCCAAGCGATATCCTTCACGATGGAATTGGGTCTGTAGGGTCCTGATGGCATGGATGACCAAGCAAATTCAGTCGCGAGGTGGCACTTTTGAGAAGCGGCATCTCTCGTCGCTGGAGAACCTACGAGGCGATGCTTGCGATGTTATTGTCAATTGCACAGGTGAGCTACGTTCTCTTCGCCGATGGAATCACGGGAACGTAGGCTTGGGAGCGGGAAAGCTCGTGAACGATCCGACTGTGTACCCAGTGCGTGGTCAAGTGGTCAAGGTACGATGTATCCGTCGTGTTGCTGCTCACGACTGATGTGTAGGTGTTCAACCGAGCTATCAACCAGTTTTTCCTGGTCGAGAGTGGTGGCCACTACACGTACATCTTGCCTCGCCCAGGGGGGGAAGTCATTCTAGGCGGCACAGTTCAAGCGCACAATTGGAGCACAGATTGCAATGACGACGACGTCAAGGACATTGTCGAACGCTGTGCGGCGCTTGACCCTGCTGTCAAGGAGAGTCGTGTGCTCGAAACAAAAGCAGGATTGAGACCGTCGACAACCAGGGGAACGCGGGTAGAGCTCGATCCGAAACGAGGGGCTGGAACGGCATGGATCATTCACAACTACGGGCATGGAGGCAGCGGTCACACGATCCATCGGGGGTGTGCCGCCGATGTCGCCAGGATTGTTGAGTCCTTGGCCGCGAAACTGTAATTAGTGCATCATGTTGTATCCGTATTGTGAGCAATTCATCCGGATAATGAGTAAATCCAGTGCGGGGCATTTTTCATTTTCGCGCACTTCCTCATGAAGATTGTAATCGTCGGCGCCGGCATCGTCGGTCTCTCGACGGCTTTGGCGCTGCTGGAACATGGATATGACGACGTGACTATCGTTGCGGAAAACTTGAACGACACTACGTCGCATACAGCTGGAGCAGTGTGGAGGCCAGTGTTTGCGGGTGCAACATCTGACCGCACCATGGAGTAAGTCTCGAGCGAAATAATCGCAATTCACGATTGCGTCGTCTAGTCATTGGAGCCACGAAACGATGCTATGGTTGCGACAATTGACAGAAAGGCATGGACCGACGGTTGTCGGGATTCAGCGAACACCAGGGATCGAGCTGTCCGACTCGCCGCCCGAAGCACACCCGTATTGGGCGCATTCCGTCGAGGACTTTCGCCTTCTCACGCGAGATGAAGCGTTGCAACATCCACCACACGACAAAGAGTTTGGCATTGCGTACACTTCTGTGATGATCCATCCAGGGTACACGGACATTCATAATAGTTCCAGTCCGTCATAGAGTGTGTAGGATTCTTATGCAGTGGATGGCAAAGCAGATCAAATCTCGCGGGGGCAAATTTGAAACCCGTTTTGTGGCGTCCTTGGATGAGCTTGATGGCGACGTCGTCATCAACTGCACAGGTGTGTCAAACCCATTCCACTTCACGGACTACAACTCTCGAGTTTTTCTGTAGGCCTTGGTGCGCGCAAACTCGTCGGCGACGCCTCCGTCTACCCTGTACGTGGTCAGGTGATCAAGGTAGACGTACTTGTACAATTGACTTGCGGAATGCAAGCTCTGGTTGTATCTTGCACGGTAGGTGTTCAACCCCAACATCAAGCGCTTCGTGTGCGTGGAATCATATGGCCAGTACACGTACATTCTTCCCCGTCCGGGAGGAGAAGTCATTGTGGGTGGCACAGCCGACATTGGCAACTGGAACACTGCCAACAACGACGCCGACATTGCCGCAATCATGGATCGAGCGGTGGCTGTCATGCCCGAGATCAAAGGCAGCAACGTTCTCTACGCTAAAGCTGGGCTGAGGCCGTCTGCCACCCGTGGAACGCGAGTCGAATTGAATCCGAAGCGAACATCAAAACACAAAGCATGGGTCATTCACAACTACGGACATGGCGGCAGCGGCCACACGATTCATCGCGGGTGCGCCTCGGCGGTGGTCAACATCGTGCGCTCATACACGTCCAAGCTGTAAAACGGTCGAGGTTGCGCCGACACTGAACCTCGACCACGTCGGCAACTCGTTCTACCCGACGCGCTTACAGGATGAAGCATGGCCTGCGTAATTCGAGGTGCTTGTACCCGTACGATCGATCGACGTTGTAGTGTTCGAGATGACCAATGGCACCTGCAGGACTCACCAGTGCTACGCTATCGAAAGGCTCGAGCAGACCAAAACACAGGTTAGCTTTGACTGCATCACACGCCCGTCTTCGAGTTGTTCTCATGGCCATTGCACGACATGGATTCCTCAACGCAGAATCACATTGCAGGGATCGACGGCGTCTGTGAAAGAATGCGAGAACAAGGACATTACATTCACGGAAAGATCAGTCTGTTGACATGCTGCTCAAGTTCTAGCAAGGGTGTGCATTCGCTGCAGGCGCGCGGCATCCACGGACGAATCATCCTTGAGCTTGGTCCATGCTTGAAGGAAGAATGGTTTAGCTTTCTCGTGCTGATCCAGGGCTTCGTAGTTTTCGGCAAGTTCCTCCGACACATACCCATCTTCGCTGTTGGTTGCATCCAGCACATGGAGAATCGCCAGCGCCTCAGCGTGTTGTTTGCGCGAGCGGTGAGTGCGTGCGATCATCCACTTGGCGATATGGATCGTCTTCGAATCACCCATGCGTTCGCGGGCGGCCAAGGCTGTTTGGAAATGGATCATCGCGTTGTCGAAGTCACCGGCATCGTGGTACGTCCACCCAATGTTGTTGGCAAGGGAGGCGTCCCAATTGCGCGCAGCGGGGTCGTCTGAATGCAGAGCGAGCTTTAGTGCTTTCCCGCTCCATTCCAACGATTCCTTGGGGTCGTCACACACAAGAGCCACCATATGCATGGCATCGATAGCGAGTTCGTCGAAATGCGCGCTCAAGGCCATATCCGTTGCCGCAATGAAGTGGGGGCGGGCATCTACAGGTCGTTTGGACGACCGATACACTCGTCCACGTTCCAATCTCGAGCGCACGTTGACTTCAATGGCATCGAGTGACGTCGCGTCCAACATTTTGAGTGCTTCGTCAACTTTGCTCAACAGGTCGTGCGCTTCCTCAAAGCGATTACGGAGTCCAAACGTGCGCGCGATTTGTGTCTGGATGCACAGGTTTTCAGCAGAACTCTCGTCGGCCGTGAGGATCCCGCGGAAGCGCGTTTCCGTCGCCGCAACGTCTGAAAAGTCCCATGTCGCCTTGAAGTTGCGCACCATTTTGTCAAGTAACAATGAAAATGTGGTATAAATTGTCGCAGGTCCGGATAAAAATGTGGGAGAGTTGCAACGAAAATAATGTTCTGAAGAATCTACAGAACGGAATGGTACCGTGCTTCGTTGTACCGACTTGCCATATCATTTGTTCCAACAATCAAAGAGCAGACGACCTAACACTCTGCCACATGAGCGTGGATGCATGAGCAATGGCAGCAGGAATCTCGATCCTCCTCGATGCGAGTGTCAGGCGCGTCGCTGGAGGATTTCGCATCATTTGGAATTTGTATGGAAACATTCAACAATTCATTATCCGGATATGAGTTTATATTTGCGCGGGAAGAGCTCGGTGGTGCAAGAGCGCGCATCGAATAGTCGACAAGCCCGCGGAGCCTCGACTCATGGCAAGGAACCAACGCTGCGCATGACTGCATTGATGTGTTATGTGTTTTGATAGGAGCTATGCATGTGAAGCACACGTCGCCTCGGCAGCGAGCATGTGTCCTTGCATCTCTGCCAGAGCTTTCTTGATGTGTTTTGTATTCGTGAGGAGATGGTTTGCTCCCTTGATCAACAGCCATTTCTTGGGGTCAGCGGCAGCACTAAACAGAGCATGGCCGTGCTCCCACGGGATACTGCTGTCCTGGTCGCCGTGGATGACGAGCAACGGAACAGTTCCTTGACTAACGCTTGCTCCAATGTCCAGCCCCACCATGTCCTCAATGTACGTCTGATCAAGAGGGCGCCAAAGTTTCCCCGTGATGGGATCGAAGTCATTCGCATCGGGAGGTAGCGGCCATTTGGATGGCCAGTAGAACGGCGTAAGGCAGCTTCCGGTTGATCGCGCTTGGCATTGCTGGTCGTTGGAGAAATCGAAGTGCACACCTTCCTTTGTATCTGCGATGCCTGCCACAACCGAGATGGACCGAAGGAATGCATGGCCGTGATTTCGCACGAGCGCTGCAAGGATGGCACCTGTCGAGAGGCCAACCACGTGCACATGTCGTTTTTGTAACTTGTGCTCGCAGAATGCAATGATTGCGTCGGCATCTTCGACTTCTCGACTTAGAAGTTTGCTGCGGTAGGGCACTTCGCTGTCAGAGCCGGGGAGTCCTGAAAAGTTGACACATAGCAGATCGAAAGCTGGAGAGAGCAGCTCTTCGAGCTTTCGAGGGAATCGACTGGCAAACGCTGGGGTGGTCGATACGTCTGGGTGTACGGACAGATCAGGAAAGCCATGAAAGTACACGACGATGCTCGGAGAGGATGCAGCACTTGAAGCCAGGAGACCCAGCAGATGCCGTCGCGATCGGTGGACGGGTACCTGCACGTGCCGCAACGCTCGCTTTGTCGTGGTGGTCGTCGTTGGGATCGCAATTTTAATCCAATGGGTCAAATGTGCACTAATTTGTTTCGCTTCAGGTCGTTCCCTGACATTTTCTCTCGCACTGATGGAAAAGTGGCGTCCACACACGAGCAAAGGCATCCGCCTCGAATACGCCTTCTCCCATCCAGCGCATACTTCACCGCATTGCGCGCTATGACGCCATGTCTTTTCCGGTTCACACAAGCACACCTCACACGTTGTCGAATTGGTGGTGCAATAAAACTACTACACTGTATTTAACGCTAGGAAAAATGCTGTCTTAGTTAGTACAAGGCGAATGAGCCAACTTTAGTACATTTCTATGGCTAGTACTTCGAAGTACAGTCCGCGCCCCTCAAATAGGACAATTAGTATTTTCACGATACTTTGCCATTTTTGCTCCAAATTGCGTCAAATTGGCACCAAAATCACCGTATCGATGAGCTCTATCGAATGGCTTTTGTTTCAGGGCCAAACAACAAATGGAGCTGGAGTAATCGTGAAAAAATTGAAATTTGAGTGCGACAGTCAAATAAGAACAAGTCATGAACATGTGCAAAGAAGCTTTGATTGATCGAGCAAAACAATCCTAGTACTTCGTCTTGCCCCCATTGGCGGCCACAACCTGAATGCAACGCTTCGGCATGGACTTGATCAACTTCTTCAGGTACGAACGCTCGATACTGGACCAAGCAGCAGTGATCGCCGCTCGGAGGTCTTGTACGGACTGAAACTGTCGCCCGTTTTCATAGACCTTGCGAGCAAGCACGCCCCAGACATTCTCAATTGGGTTCAGGTCCGGCGACAGTGCTGGGTGTTCGAAGAGCTTCACATCTTCAGCCGCCAGAAAGTCCTTGACCTTCTGGGCCGTGTGGATGCTGGCGTTGTCTTGCATGAAGACGAACGATTCTCCATAGTGGCGACGCCCGAACGGCAAAAGGTGCGTACGCAGTGTCTCAATGTACTTGTCGCTGTTCTGACGACCTTGAAGGAACGCCAAATCAGTGCGGCCACGGCGCGAAAAGCCACCCCAAACCATGACGCTGCCGCCGCCGGAGCTTCTGGTAAAAAACGAGTCCTTCTCACGGCGCAAGTCGTGCCAGTAGAATTGGAATCCATCTGGTCCGTCGAGATTGAATTTCTTCTCGTCGGACCAGACGATTCGGCTCCACTTGGGCGGCTTGGTGATGTGCTTGGCGGCGTACTCCAGGCGGGCGACTCTATGTCGTGGTTGCAGGTTTGGCTGGTGCTTGCGCTTGGTGTACTTGAGATGCTCGCATGTCTGAAGCACTCTTTGATAGGTCCTGAGCGATACGACCATTGGGATCGTCGCTTTGAGCATGCGCGAAGAGCATCCAGTCTTGGACGCATGCAGGACCAATCTACGGCGCTCCCGATCAGTCAAGACACTCCATCTTTTACCGTTGTATCGGGTCCCGTAGCCATCCTTATCACGCAGATAGTTGTAGATGACAGTTCGGGACCGGCCGATCTTCTTGGAGATCTCGAGGATCGTCCATTCTTCGCTTTGGAGCACATCAATGACGGCCCGCTCCGAATCCGTCAGCTGCGAGCCTCGGGGCATGCGTTGATCACCCAGATGCCTGTGCATGTGTGAAATGTTGTGTTGTAGTGATGTTGGCTTACGTGTGTGCTGATAGCTCGTCGTCAGATTCCAAAATGACAGCGAACATGACGTGTTGTCGTTTGGCCCTGAAACAGGCGGCAATCGATAGAACCAATCAATGCGGTGATTTCGGTGCTAATTTGACGCAATTTGGAGCAATATTGGCAAAGTTATCGTGAAAATACTAATTGTCCTATTTGAGTGGCGCGGACTGTACTACAGTCTGGAACAAAACTATAGCCGCACCAACTATTTCGAATAAATATTCTATAATGTTAAATAAAAAATAATTTCGGATGTTGCAATGTTGTATCGTCACCAATCTCGTTGGCGCGTGCACCAAAGAATTCAGTTGCAAATG